AACTCTCAGACTGAAGAAGTCTCTTGGAAGAGAGACGAAACGTTTCATTAAAGAAGAACCCGTCCAGAGGACCTATACAATTTTTTTCCTTTTGATGTTTTGAATATGTTTTTTTTCATTCGTTGTAAACTTTCAACAATTTCAACACATAATATTTTAGTCAAAGAACAAAAATACTAATTTACAATCTAGATTGTTGTAGGTCCTAACATAAGAAGCTTATTTTAAAAAAAGACATTTTATTCCTTTTATTTGTTGGTGTTATTGTTTTTGATTTTTCTGCTTGGAAAGGAGGTTTTTGGGAACAAAATTTTAATATCAGTCACTTTAGTGGTATAAAAACATAGAAACAAACATTATTAATCCCAGTTATGTTTCAAAGGCCAGCAGTAATCAATGTTTTTATTTTAAACTGATTAGTGTGAAATCATTTAAAGTCAGGTTTTCAGTTTACATGAGGTTGTTTTGGAGAAGTCAACTTTTTTCCACTCATTTTTCTGATTTCTCTATTTCAGCACTTCCTCTTTCTCTGGGCAGCATGGCAGTCACTGGTGGTCTTATCTACAAAGGTAAAAACAATCTTTGTTTACGTAGTATTAAAAAGAACCAAACTTGTTTTGATAAAGTTTAATTGAAGCATATGTTTCTGTCATCCTCATTCAGGCATTTGGAAGTCATCACCAAGATTTGGTCCCTTTCCAAAACTAGCAGGTTTGCACCATGCACCATTGAACAGGTATTTATAGATATGCTTTGTTACATTGCCTAAAACTGTCTCTGTTTCAGTTGCGGGGCTCCTTGGGTTTGCAGTGGGAAAAGCTTCCTATGTTGGAACATGCCGAAGCAAATTCCATGAGCTCGGGATAAAAGATGGGACAGGATTCAGACCCTGGTCTAGGAATGGACTCCATGAACCAGGACGCAGGTGAGAAAAACACAKGCACATTTCTAGTTATACCATCACGTATTATTATTACATATATACTTCAGTGGTTTTCTGATGGAGGTTATTTTATTTACATACCATAACCAACTAAAAGTTTACAATGGAATATTAGGACCAGACTAAGATATATTTTTTTATTTTGAGAATAAAGTCAAAGCATTATGAGAATAAAATCAGATTATTATGAAAATAAAGTGAAAGTACTATGAAAATAAAGTCAGAATATTACAAGACTAAAGTTGAAGCACTATGAGAATAAAGTCAATGCACTATGAGAATAAAGTCGATGCCCTATGAGAATAAAGTCGCACTATGGGAATAAAGTCAATGCACTATGAGAATAAAGTCGATGCCCTATGAGAATAAAGTCGCACTATGGGAATAAAGTCAATGCACTATGAGAATAAAGTTGATGCACTATGAGAATAAAGTCAAAGTATTATGAGAATAAAGTCAAAGCACTATGCGAATAAAGTCAAAGCATTATGAGAATAGTCAAAAATATTAGGATAAAGTAAAAGTGCTATAATAATAAAATCAAATCATTATGAGAATAAAGTCAAAATGCTATAAGAATAAAGTCAAAATACTATAAGAATAAAGTCAAAGTACTGTAAGAATAAAGTCAAATTCTTATGAGAATAAAGTCAAGGTACTATAGGAATAAAGTCAAAGCATTATGAGAATAAAGTCAAAGTACTATGACAAATAAAGTCAAAGCATTATGAGAATAAAGTCAAAGTACTATGAGAATAAAATCAAGGTACTATAAGAAAAAGTCAAGGTACTATG